TTCAGCATCTTAGCTGTAGAGGGCAGTGTCACTGGCCCTCATATATGGGATCCGAACCGGGGCCCTCTGGTGTCCCAAGCCAGCTCTTAACCAACGTGCCACTCGGCAGGCCCTCAGATATGTTTTATGTAAATAAATGATTGTTAATGTTTATAACATCTAAGATATTGAACTTTTCCCTCAATTCTTCCTACCAGTTAACGCTCTATTAAAAAAAAAGCTATGCTTTAAATGAACTAGAAATGCTGACATAAAAATTAAACAGTGATGCTTAACAAAGTCAACAATTATTTTGTACTGTTAAAAATTCATCCTAGGATGGGGAAGATGGCAGTGGCCAGGACCGGGTCCTGAGAGTCTAATGGCTGCAAAGGGCAGGTGGGAACATGGTGCAGTTGGGAACACGGACAGCTTCCCACGTTACCAAGCACATGCTCCGGGGGACCTATCCCAAGGCTCCAGAATGGGCTGCTGCCGCCAAGAAGTACGAGATGCAGGTAAAAGATTACCAGCTGTACCCGGATGATGGCTTAGGGTATGGTGACTGCCCAAAGCTTCCTGACCGCTCGCAGCATGAGAGGGATCCGTGGCCTACCTGGGGCCACCCAGACCTGAGATTGAACTGGGGTGAACCAATTCACTGGGACCTAGACGTGTACATCAGGAATCATGTGGACACGTCCCCCACACCTGTTTCTTGGAATGTCATGTGTAAGCACCTCTTTGGCTTCGTGGCCTTCATGCTGTTCATATTTTGGATCAGAGAGACTTAGCCCTCCTCCCAGGCCATGGGGCCAAAGTGGTATCCTTATAACAATGTATACCTGGAACTACTAGGCAACTATCCCACCAAAGAGCCTGAGCCCGTGGTTCACTGTGAAGTCTGAGGAGGCTTCATGGGCTTTGTGTCCCTGGCTGACTCCCTCATTCCTACAGATTTAACCTTCAAGAAATCCTTAATAAAACTTGGTGCTGTGGAAAAAAAAAATTCATTCTAAGTGGTCTGTTTGGTACTTTTTAAAAAAAAAATCATAGTTTAAAAAATTTTGTTTTTTCAATGCCTAAGACGGAATAGCCAATAAGAGACAGAAAGGCCTTGTCAGTACAGGCCAGAGACTCTGCAAGGATGACCTGAGGAAGATGTGCAGTGGAGACAACGGGACTCAGTCAGGACAGGAGAGAAGGAAGGAAATCTGTGGGTGTGTGAAAAGGCGGGCTTCCATTCTTTCTCTTAAAAAAAAAATCATTGTCTTTAGAAAATATTACTCAATGTTCAAAGTAGCCACCACATTCCCTTTTTCTTGTTTGCTTTTTCTAGCTCGATTATCTGTCCTGTCAATTTTTGCCTGGAATTATGTTTCACATTTGTCCTTGTTTCATTCCCAAGCAGCCTTACCCATAGCCTATGAAAGTAGCCTGAAAAACTTTGTTTATGAAGGAATGACTTTCTTTATTACATAAATTATATGTGTTTGTTGTAGATATTTCAGAAAAATAGGGTAAGCAAAAAAGAAGAAAAAAATGAATGTGTTGAATCCCACCACTTTGAGCTAATCACTGTTAACATTTTGGTAAAAATCTCTCTGTGTTTATGAGTGTGTGTGTGTGTGTGTGTGTGTGTGTGTGTGTGTGTGTGTAGAATCATAATACTATCTTGCAATTTACTGAATATCATACATATCTGTTCATGTCAATAATATCAATAGACTTTTACAATAGGACTATTGATAAATGTACAGTGTCCTATTCTATGGGTATAATGCCATGTGTTTACTCAATCTTCTATTGTTGAATATTTAGACTGTTTCTAATATGTTATGCTTATAATAGTGATTTTGATCAACATACCTGTAACTACATTAATTGCACACATTCTTAATTATTTCTGTAAGATAAATTCATAAAGGCAGAATTGCAGGGTCAAATGCCTATACACATTTTTAGGGTATTTGATAATGAACAAATTGCAATATGTTCTCTTAATTTGTATCCTAATGTGCAGGATTCCTTTTCTCCAATTTATCCTTTCAAGCATTACCAGATTAACTTGTAGAGAAGAACCCTAACAGTGTCATTTGTTACTCCCCAAAGCTTTCCAGAAGTTCGAATCCTCAGTCTAGCCTCTAAGGCCCCTATAATCTGGGCCCAACCTATTTTTCCAGCTTCATCTCTCACTATTCCCCGTTTCTCTACACTCCATGTTATTGCTATATTATTACTATTACCACCACCTGGAACACACTCAATTTCTACTCTATCTCCATCCACTCTAGATAGATTCCATATCTATATCTTATATCTATGTCATATGAATTCTCATAGTCATATGTATGTACCTGTCTTCTGGCATTTTCATATTCTATTCTATGCTTCATGAATGTTTATGTATCTCTCTTACTATAGCACAAAAGCTTGTAAAGCTGGGACCAAGGCTTTTTCATCCCCTGCAGTAGAACTATAGCAGTCAGGATTGACTCAGTTATGCTGTGGTAATAGACAATTCTCATATCTCAGAGGCTAAAAGTAAAACAGGTTTATTTCTTACTCATGCTGTGTCCATCTCAAGTCAGCAGGGGCTCTGTTCCATGGCATTCTCACTCTGGGATTCAGGAGGCCCCTCCATCTGGAACTGATGTGGCAACAAGGAGAATAGAGAACTAGAAGGTCTCATACTGGCAGTCATTTACTCCTACCAAGAAGAAACATTTATGCCCACAACCCATAGGCCAAAATTAGCCACATGGCTCTGTGGGAGTGGGGGTGGGGGGGGTGGACAGAGAAGAATAATCTTCCCATATAACTAAGAGGAGAAGAGAATCAGATAACAGGGAACATGAAGTCTACAGGAGCTAGTATGGCATCTTGCTTATAATGGACAATCAATAGATATGTGCTGAAAGAACAAGCAAACAAATGAATCTGGAAGTCGTTATAAACACAGAAGAATGCGAACTATAATAGACTATGTTTCACTTTTTAATTAGTTTCATTTTTGTAAGTGGTGGATGTTAACATATATGGGTATTTTGTTTCTCCTATTCAGTATAAATCTGTACATAGAATACAGATACGTGTTTTTCTCTCTCTCTGTAAAGAGGGAAGAATGGCATCAGGGATGTGTGTTCACACCACATACTTTTGGGAGAAGTAGAAATTGCACCAATCACACAGACGTGTCAGGTAGAAAGAATGCCCGAAGCTGTGTAAGAAGAAGGTGATGGTCCTACAGCAGGCGTGATTCAGCTGACTCAAGTCCTTTCTCTTAGGAGGTAAACCTCTGCATTATTCTCATTATAATGAAATGCTAACAGGATGTTATGAAGTAAATAGTAATCTAAGGAGTACCCTCCTGGGACTAGACTTGGGTATGACAGAGGGAGGCGCAAGAAAACATGTGCGCTTGACAAGGCCCTTTGAAGTAGCAAGTGAACTCAACCATAAGAAGTGACATTGCTCAACAAATGCCAGTTTGAGTTCTGTTCCCCTAGAAAAATCATGTTCCGACCAAGAATCTCTCATTTCATGACCTAGAACCTGCAGTCTCAGTGGAACTCTTTTCTGTCTAATGAGACTATTATCACTCTCAAGAGGTAAAGCTTTAAGTTTAGAGAAGTAAATGAAACCCATAGGGTTGCTATTTTGAAGTGGACTTAAATGTGGGTGTAATGGTAACTTTTAGAGCCACTGTAACATGTTACGTGTGTTTCTGTTCAAGAGAATTTGTCATATAAAGTTTATAGCTTTATCGAAATGCTTAAAAGACTTGACTAAGGTTAAAATCTGCATTTAAATATACAAGGAAATTGGTTTATGAAAGGTGAAGTTTGACTTATTAGTTGCATAATAGTGTTTAAATATTTGGGAAAATGTGTTTAATCAATGTAAAAGCTTAATAAATTGAACATTAAACAAAACTAAGTAGTGGTAAGTGTTCTTTCCAGGCCAGAAGCCCCTGAGACATTAAAGATCCTAGCAACAAACAAGACAGGTTTTATCCAGTAGATTTAACAGGCTGTACCTTGGAGCAAAAATGCATGAGATCTGGCTATTACTATTGAAAACAAAATCCAAATTAATATGCTTAGCAGGAAAACCCAGTTAGCAGCTGCATGTTGCTTTTTGTGATCATGTCTCTTGACAAGGATTTATTATTTATGTTGTGGGTTGATTAAGCTTGGATCATAGGCAAATGTTTTGCCATGTTCGCCTCTCTAAGTGTAATAGTAAGCCCAAAGTTTGTTCCTTTAAAACACTTCCGAGGTCCAGCTTTCTAAAGTGAGGGGAATTGAGAGGTGAGGGTTTTAGAGGAGAAGTAGGCTATGCAACCTGGATGATCCAAGGGTTTCTAAGAAAAGGAAAGATTACTATTCATTTCCATGTTGCATTGATGCTAAATCCTCGCTTCTCCCCCAATTTTCATTAAAGTTGCTATACAAACAAATAAATAGACACATCCGAGGTCCAAGTATTTTCACTTCATACTGCTATCATGAAAAAATAATTCAAGCCGTCAATTGATGCCATGGTGCTTACAACTCATGAATCTGTCAATGATTCTTCCTAGGGGCAGGCAGCCGCCTGTTTACAGTTATTTTTCTGGAATGGTCACTTTTGAGTTGCCACTTGCCTGGCTGATCTAAGGTGCTCTGAGGACTTATGAGCTAATGATGCTTAGGGATTTCATGTCCTGAAGAACTCGGTAATCCTGTGCTTCCTGAGTCCCCCTCTAAGCCAGGACCTTCTGTCACATCCCAGAGTTACAGGCAGTTTGAAAGCTCTGCTAAGCAACTATTCTGCTGGACCTTTGGGCATTCTCTGAGGTGCCACTTAGGATTTCTTCAGTAACCTTGACCAGGATGTAGTTCCTCCTTGGCACTCTGCTTCAGGTGCTCTGAGGGTCTGTCTTTCTGAACAACAGCAGCAAAGCAAGCCACGCCATGGGTGAGATCAGCCAAGAGGCTGTGGAGAGATACCTGGAGGACAACCCTCAGTTTGCCAAGGAGTACTTCGACAAGAAGCTGCAGATGGCAGCGCTGGGAGAAGCGTCAGAGCACAGTGGGGAGCGGGGCGCAGCCAGCGCGTCCTTGGCAGGGCTGTCTCCAGAGGAGGAGTCGGCCCTGTGCCTGGAGCTGCTGCAGGCTGTGCGAGAGGAGGCGGGCAGCGCCGATCTGGCGGCGCACATGGCCCTGCAAAGGCTGGCGCTGCTGCTAAGCGCCGACCGCTGCAGCCTGTTCCTGTGCCGGGCCCGCAACGGCACACCCGAGGTGACCTCCAGGCTGCTGAACGTCACTCCGACCTCCAAGTTTGAGGATAACCTGGTGGTCCCTGACAGAGAAGTTGTGTTTCCATTGGACATCGGTATAGTGGGCTGGGTTGCACACACGAAGACAGCCCTTAATGTCCCAGATGTGAAAAAGGTAGGTAGCCTTATGACAGTGGGGCCGATGAGGCCTTGGCGGGGTCCTGGAGGGACAATAGGAAAGAGAGCAGGGGTTCAGGAGGCCATCTTTGTGGCATTGGTTTGGCTCTACTCTGGAGAGTCGAGGGCAGTGGGGAAGAGGAGCACCTAGTCCAGGACTGCCAGATTTAGCAAATAAAAATACGAAATGCCCAGTGCAAACTGAATTTCACATAAACAATGAACGATGTTTTAGTGTATTGTAAGTTTGGCATCTTATCAGGCTTCTTCCCTGGGCCTGGTACAGTCCACACCTTCTCCTTCTCCTTTACACCTCCTCCGTGCTCTGGGCGCTATCCTTCTGAATAACAGCAGAGCAGGCTGCCCACTGGTGAGATCAGCCACCAGGCCAGATGCCAGGACTCCTGAGCCACTCCCCACGCCTCTCACCCACACCCATTTGAAGACACTCGGTTCTTTGGGATGGGTTGGCTCATAAGTGGATTCTTTCGTCTACTGACTAAATGTGCAAAAAGAAAAATGATACTATCTGAAAGCTTCAGTGTTCACATTTAGATCATTAAAACTGAATTGAGGTGATGGTTAAGTGCTATTGGCCATCCCCCCCCCCCCCATAACTCAGATCTATCAAGAATGAGTTCCAGTCAGGTAAAATGAGACATTTGGACCCTCCTGAGACCCAACAGCATATTGCACAAATGGTTATGCTTATTTAAAAACAGAAAATTTAATTCATTCTCCTTACCAAACGAGCAATGCTTGTTCATTTTAGGAGAATTATAACATACAAGTGAAAAGGAAGAAACACAAATGACCCATAATTCCTCCACTCAGCCATAGCCATAGGCACCAGTTTGGAGTTTTTCCTGCCAGCCCTTCATTTTTACAAACATGTCCCATTATTTTGCTTTGCTATTAACAGAAGGAGAGAGGTGGATTATGCTGGCTCGAAGTGGATTGGGAGCTGGCCTTGACATGCTTTCTGTACAGACATTTATTACCAGTTTGTGAGGGGGGCAGCGGGGGGCAGGAGGATAATCCCCCACATGCCTCCTGAAGCTGATTACAGGAGAAGGGCCGCACAGATGCAGAAGGCACAGAAGTTGTCAAACATTAGCAACACTCAGCAAACAACCACAGGATAGCCCTCTAGGTGCAAGGGTTGCCCTTGGTCACGTGGAGCCCTCAGGCCTTTTCCAAGCCTCCCTTCAGTGAGTTTAAGCCAGTTTAAGTACGTTTTTTGAGTCCCATGGCAGCTGCTTGAGGTAACTAAACTGAGGTGTGTCCTATGGCAAAGTTCTCTGGACACCAGTTAGGAGGCTGTCCCCACGCACCCTGAGGCTTTCTCATGGGAATGTGCTTCTTGCCAGGCTCCAGCTGAGGCCATCTCCGAAGTCACTAGGACATCAAACTTAAAGTGACATGCAACATTTTTTTTTCTGAATTTTTTTTTTTAAAGAAGAGATGGATAAAATGACTTCTACTGTAATACTTGATTAGTGAGCCCAGTTCTCCATGTTGAAAAGAAAATGGCAGAATGGAGTTGCTTTAAAGATCAGGTGGCCTTGGTCTGTGGCTGTCCATGGTTAACTCCCAAATGGACAGGACAGTAAATGGGGTGGGGGTTCATGTCTCTCCATTCTTCCTTGTCCTAAGGACTCCTGGCTGTTACAGGTGGGACAGAGACATACGTATTGAAGACAGACACTCGCCTGAGCTCAGGGGAGAGACAGGGGCTTTATTTGTTCTCCATTTCTACTGTTTCTAAGCATTATTTTTTCTCTGAGAGTTGTACTTTTCAACTTTGGATGCACATTAAAATCAAATTGAGAGCTTTTTAAAAAATATTGATATCTGAGACTCTCGGTAGATCAATTACACCAGACTCTCCGAGGTTCGGACGCAGGCACTAGTGTGTTTACAAAGCTCCCCATGTGATTCTAATCTGCAGCCAATGTTGAAAACCACTCATCTCTTGGGTGAGCAGGTGCAAGAGAAGGAAGTGACTTTCAAATCAACTGTAGAATATTAGATGGAAAGGGCTCCTGGAGTGGTTAGCCCAACCCTTTCCTTGGGCAGACAGGAAGCTGAGATCAGGGGAGCTTTATCTCTCCCAGAGTCCACGGTCAGGTCAGTGAATGAAAAACACTGAAATAGAATAAGGCTCTGAGTCCAGTGCTCCCTCCACCCTCACCAAATCCCACGTCTCTGCAGTTTTGCCACACTTCAGTCGCTGTGGGGAAATCTGCAAAGAGAAAGGTGATGGAAACCAATGTTTTAAATGAAATTTCTATTACTTCTTCACCTTTTCATTGCATTTGACATTTTATAAAGATTTTCTCTTTCTTAATCTCACTTGATTCTAGCAAAGACCCTGTGTGGAAGACACATTTTAATCTCCATCCTGTCTATGTAAGAATCTTCTCAATTAGGCAGGGAGTGGTAGGTCCATAACCCAAGTCTTTGGAGGCCTCCCTCTTACCACACTGCTGACCACACACAACTTCTTTCTGGTTGGCAATGTGGGCACAGGTGAAGGAAGGACTTCTCACACCTAGACAAATGCAGAACCGGATACTCCCAACCTCGGGGTCCACGAAGGTGGTAACAGAGATCCATGTGGTGTAGGGTGAGAGCTTTAACATCAGACAGATCTGGGTGCAGATCCAGGTCTGAGACTAGGTAACTATGTGATGGATTGAGTTTCTGCACCCAAGAAATAGAGGTAACCAAATGTACAGATTAAATGAACATGAAATACCTGACTCCTGGTAGGTTCTTAGTAAATAACAGCTATGATAACATTATCTTTATGCTACAAGGGGTCTTGGGGCTGGGTGTGGGTGGTCAAAACTGGGTTAATGGTTATTGCCTGTTTTTAAAATAGGTGAAAGGCAGGAAAACTTTGGATAACATGAAACTGAGAGATAGTCTTTTCAAGTTAATCATTTCTTTTTCTATTGGGAAAAAGAAAAAGCTGTTGATTAACTCTGTGGATGGGCGGTTCTCATGCTGATTGTGGTTAAAAGAAAGTCATGTAGAAGTCCGATGTTTCCAATGATTAACAGGGTGCTTACAGATCCCTTTTCTCCCTCCTCTCTCTTCCTTCTTTCCTTTCTTTCTGACTCCTGATCTCAAGAAATAATGGTGTTTAACCAGAATTTAACAATGCTAAGACTGGATGAGGGGTCCAGGCGGTCTGCTGCGCTAAGCAGTGTTCTCTCCAGTTGTCTTCAGTAGCTTCTTTGAAAAAGAACCATCAAGGAGAGTGTGTGAATCTGAGAAATACAAGATTTACTCAAACAAACTTCAAAAAAAGGATTGTTTGACCTAGTGAAAATAAAAAACCAGAGAGCCTCATTTCGCCTACCCTGAAATTCAATGGATGATTTCACCCAGGACTTTCGGATACAACAATAAGCAAGCATTCTGTTTTGAAACTTAGCAGCCAAATTATCAAAACAGCCAACTGATCTTGAGAACATTTTCTTGTGTTTAGACTCTAGAATAAGATAGCATCAAGTGTTGAAGCTGCAGAATGAAGTGTGTTAGCTAAGAGATGCTGCCTGACTTCATCCCATGGTGTGTGTTTCTGGTATTTTGATTATTCCTTGAGTGCCTAGGATTGCTGTGTAAATGAAAGTGATTATGATCTGTAATGGGTAAGAGGTTCATGGGTAAGCTCATATACCTGTAACCCCAGTTCTGCTCTACTTCTCAGCACACACATTCTGTTCATTGTAACCCTCTGTCTTTCCCTCCCTTCCTCTTGGCACCTTCTTTCTGTTTGGCCATAACATCACCTCTTTTTCTCCTCCCAATCTCAGCCTAGCCTTGATAGGACACAGCTCGGCTGGAAAATGCTCATTCTGAAATGGGCAATGTTACTCTAAGCAATCATAGGATGGGGGAATGTTTGCTCAGGACTTCTGTGTCGCTATGGTTTGGACTAGACAGAATGACCTGTTGCCATTTCTAGACCTATACTCCATGCTCCTGTGCTGCTTTGGCAAATGTGTGAATGTGTCTTTCAGGACAGCCATTTTTCTGACTTCATGGACAAACTAACAGGGTATGTCACTAGGAACGTATTGGCAACCCCGATCATGATGGGCAAGGAGGTTCTTGCTGTGGTGATGGCAGTTAACAAAGTAAATGCACCTGCATTTTCCAAACAGGATGAAGAGGTAATGCTGGCAGCCAATCAGAGGCTCAGGAAATTTACTTGTATATCTGACAGAAACATGCCAAACCTAATTTGTTTTTCTCTGCCATCTGTAGGTCTTTTCCAAATACCTCACCTTTGTTTCTATCATCCTAAAGCTTCATCATACCAACTACCTGTACAGTGTTGAATCCCGAAGAAGCCAGGTAAAGGGAAGGTGACATTAATCCCTTCATGCTGACTTGTTCTGACAAAGGGACCCAGAGAGAGGGGCAACAAGCCCAGGTCCCTCTTTCCCTCATGGGGTTTAAGCCACACGGAGCAGATCCCCAATCTTCAGTCCCAGGTGTCTTCTCATGGTCCACCCCAGCCTTCCATCCCCAAAGCCTGCCCCTCCGTCCATATGTACAATTGGTGTTCCTTTCTTCAGTCTCCATCCTGGATAGCCATGGTTTCTTCATCTATGAGATAGTGATGATAATTATAATACCTGCCCCACATGGTTATTGTGACTATTAAATGGTCATTAGATGAGTTAGTTCACATAAAGCTCTCAGCAGTTCCTGGAACATAGTAAAGCTATTAATTTCAGGAGGAAATCACTCCTCTGAAGACTGTTGCCTCCTTGAGCCAGAAGTATAAAGAACAACATTGGTAACCAGGTTACCTGAGTCTGGACCACTCTCTGGACCTTAGTTTCCTCATCAGTACAATGGTGGGAGGAGGGTTGGGAGGGAGGACTTTCAATGTCTCTTTCCATTCTGACTATCCAGCTAGGGTTACCTCTGATTAACTCAGGATGCATGGAAGGAGGCATGTGGCTGTCTCCCCACAAGGGCCAGCAGGACCAGTGGGCCACTCACACTGCACCCTCTCTCCAGGGACTGCCCCTATATCCAACTATAGGTCACCTCCCTTTGAAGCTAAAACATTTGCTTTCTCCCTTCAAAAACCCACAGCCCTGCAAAGTTCTAGTCATCGTCCCATGCAGAGATTCAGTAGTTTGTTGGATGTGTACATGTTCAAAAATAGAATTGTATTGTCTAGTGATATATATTCATTTTATCTGATGCACCTCCCATTTTATCTTTTCATAATGTATTTTGTTTTAACTGTTTTCTTTTTAATCCCTACTTTCAGATCCTTATGTGGTCAGCCAATAAAGTATTTGAAGAGCTCACAGATGTTGAGCGGCAGTTTCACAAAGCGCTCTACACAGTTAGGACATATCTGAACTGTGAACGATACTCCATTGGACTGCTGGACATGACCAAGGAGAAGGTCCTCATTGTTCCATACATTTTTGTCTTGCCTAAAATCACCTGTAAAATACACATCACATGAAATGTGATCCATTAAAACATGGGTACATTATGTAAATAATGAGTCATGATTGATCATAGAACCAGTGCCAAGAAAATATAATCAGAAGTAAAAGTGTATTTTGGGAACAAAAAGGTCTAGACTTGAATCTTGGCTTTTCTACTTCCTAGTTGTATGTGTGTTCACAAGTCTTTTTTCTTTTTTAAAAATATTAAGTAATTGACTTTTTTTAAAGACAAATTTTAGGTTTACAGAAAAAATGAGCAGAAAGTTCAGCGACTTCCCATTTATGTCCTCTTCTCCCCCACCCCCACTTTCCTCTATTATCTATTTCTATTATAACATCTTGCATTGGTGTGGTACATTTGATAAATCAATATTGATATATAATTATTAACTAAAGTCCACAGTTTACATTAGGCTTCACTCTTTGGGTTGTACAATTCTATGGGTTTTGACAAACGCATAATGTCATTTGTCTGCCATTACAGTATTATAGCAAATAGTTTCCCTGCCTGAAAAATCCTGTGTGCCACCTAGCCATCCTTCCCTCTCCCTACCCCAGGGCCCTGGCAACCAATGATTTTTTTTATTGCCTCTATTGTTTTTGCCTTTTCCCTAATGCCATATAGTTGGAATCATTCAGTATGTAGATTTTTCATATTGGATTATTTCCCTTAGCAATATGCATGTAAGTGTCCTCCATACATTTTTATGGCTCAATACTTCATTTCTTTTTAGTGCTGAATAATATTCCATTGTCTGGATAAATCACAGTTTATTCATTCACCTACTGAAGGATATCTTCGCTGCTTCTGAATTTTGCTAATTATGAATAAAGTGTAGATTTTTATGTGGACATAGTTTTCAACTCCTTTGGGTAAATACCAAGGAGGGCTATTGCTGGATCATATGGTAAGACTATCTTTAGCTTTGCAAGAAACTGCCAAGCTGTCCTCTAAAGTGGGTGTGCATTTTGCATTTCTATTGGAAATACAATAAATGAGAGTTTCTGTTGCTCCACGTCTTTGCTGGCAGTGGGTGATGTCAGTATTTTGGATTTTAGCTATTTTAATAGGTATGTAGTGATATCTCATTGTTTTAAGTTACACTTCCCTGATGACATGTGACGTGAGGCATCTTTTCATCTGTTTCATTAATTTTGTTGAAACTATTCTAGTTCAACATAACTAATGAGTACCATATCATTTACATTTCTTACTATCCATGTGATTTGAAGTTATTTTTTCAGAGTAATTGTTCGAAGTGGACCATACATCAGGAGAGCTGGGCTCTGATCCTAGCTCTGAGAGTTCCTAGGTGATTATATTGGTTAGGATGTTTTTCACTGCCAGTAACATTAGACCCAGGTAAAAAGCATCTTTAACAATAAGATAGTTATTATCTCACTTAATAAGAAGTCCCAAGGTGGGGCAGTTCTAAGGCTGGTTAATTCAGAGCTCAGTACAATCATCAAACTCCCAGGTGCTTTCCATTTTTTCCTGGCCAGGTCTCTGCTACCTTTAGCATATTCATGAGGTCTCCTGTTATGGTGGCAAGATGGCTGTTGTAGCTCAAGACACAGCACATAGACATGACAAAATTGTGAGGTATTTCCTGCAAATGTCACTTTCATCACCTTTCATCTGAGGAACACCTTTCCCCAGAAGCCCCCCCGCCCGCCCGTAGACGTCTCCTTCCTCATTGTCCACACCTGGGCCTTATGCCGGCCCTAAAACTAATCCCATATAATATAGACCACCTGTGGTCTGTGTGGGCCTATAATCCCTGAACAAGTTACCACCTGATACCCATATAAAATCAGGTTCTGTTAGCAAGGAAAAAGGGGAGAATGGATAATAAGTAAGGCATTCAACACTTTGGCTACTGTACATGACCTTGGCCAAGCCTCTTACCCTTGCTAAATTTATTTTAATTATCTATAAAAGAACTGTTAAATACCAAGTACTTTTAATTATGTGCCAGAGTAGTGCTCTGTATGTATTATTCATTTAATCCTAACAATGACCCTGTCATATAAATTTTATTATTATTCCCATTCTACAGATGGAAAAGGTTAAGGTTAAGTGACTGGTTCACGATCACAAGTTCATATAAGCAGTACTGCTGGGAATTGCAAGTCTTTCCAGCTCTAAACTTTTAGAATTATAAATTAATATAAAACATGCCAACACATGAAATTCATATAATGTATGGTAGGTAATGGAACAGTTTGCTTAATAATGTTGAATTATAATTACCTCCAGGAATTCTATGATGAATGGCCAGTCAAGCTTGGTGAAGTTGAGCCTTATAAAGGTCCAAAGACACCAGATGGCAGAGTGAGTGTAACTATCTTTGGTGATATTTGTGCACGGTGCAAAGTGCTAAAACCAGAGACAGCCATGCAGAGTGGAAAGAGCATGGGCCTGAGAAGGCTTGGGTTCTAATCCTATAACTTTATGTGGGACCTTGGAGTAGAAAGAGTACTGCGCATGGGGTTTGAAATTCCAGTCCCAGCTCTGCCCCCAGCGAGTTGGGTGGCCTTTGCTTTAACTCATCATTTAGCTTCTTACTTTCCTTTGCTGTAAAGCCAGGGCTTGGTGGATCAGTGGTTCTCCATAGAGAGGGATGCATCAGAACCACCTGCCTAGCTTTTTAAATACATTGTGCCCAAGTCCTTCTGACATGCTGGGTTGGAATCTCCTGGGAAGGGTTGGGTTAGATTTACTTCCCCCCTTGACTGCAAGCTTCACAGGGCAGAAACTGTGTTTCACTACTGAAAGGGAAGGTAATGGGATGGAATATGTCCGGAGACCTCAGGTTCTTCATCTGTCTAAAGAAGCAGAGAGACTAGTTCTCAAGTCCCTGGAAGCTTGGACAACATAGCCACTGAGTCCTGTTTGTGAGGCACCTGTTCAGATAAGCCAATACGGGAAGGGGAGAGTGCTCCTTGTGTAGCTGGGAGGGGAGGGGGAAACATTGACTGAGGTTGAGAAATTACATGATTTGTTACACTGAAGTTAGCAGGCAGCTATTTCTGCACAATAGAAAGGGATGGATTCAGAGAGAAAAAAGTTTCCCCTAAAAATTGTTTGGGTGAATGCAACTTTTTCAATTTAGTTCAACAGGCTTGTTCATGTCATATTTCCAATATAAAACAATAATATTTCTAGTTTTATTACAAGTTTGTAATCAGGACATGAGTATTTTGGTAATTTACATTATGCAGAGAAATGTGGTTGGGAAATGGGCACTTTTTAAATGAGTTTCAAAGTATAAGTTCGTCAATGAAAAGCATTTTTTTGGGGGGGGGAACAAGATTTTTCTTACCATCTCTCTCTTTCCTCTTAGGAAATCATCTTTTATAAAGTCATTGATTACATCTTACACGGGAAAGAAGAGATCAAAGTGACTCAGTGAGTATTGTCGTAAAGCAGCTGTAGAAAATGCCATTTTATTTTTGTACACAGCACTTTTCTCTGTATTGCAATGGTTTTCTTTCTTGTATTCTTCCCCAAGGACACCTCCTGCAAACCACTGGACTCTCATTAGTGGGTTGCCAACTTATGTTGCTGAAAATGGATTTGTAAGTTATTAAACACATTCAAATCTTAAATAATATTGGATGGAACTCGTATTAGCTAAGGGACAGAACAAATGTGAAAGCAAGAATGTTTCAGGGAACGGTGAGCTGGCCACTTCCTTTGGCTCAGGACATAGGAGAGAGGAAACTTGGCAGTTGAATGTAAGTTCACTAGAGACACCTAAAAGAAAATGTTCTGTCAACACGAGAAAGGTTGATCCATTCCCCAGCTCCTTATTCTGCAGCCACACAAATTTCAGGGTCCTTTGGAAATTCATGGCCATGATTCATGCTGGGTTTAATTTGATCTCAAGGACAGTTCTCTTGGTCAAAACTTTTTTTTTTTTTTAAGATTTTTATTGGGGAATTGGGGGATGGGAACAGTGCTGGGGAAGGGGAACAGACAAGTTGCTGTCGTTTTGTTCTTCAGTCTAGTTGTGGAGGACGTTGCTTCACTGGCTCAAGTTAACACCATCATTGTGCTCTTCCCGGGTGAGGCAGATCAGTCGCCAGCTTCTGGACAGCCGCTCACTGCAGCTGCTGGCCGCTCACGCTGGCTGCTGGCTACACACGATAGCCCATGGCAACCCACTGCAGCAGGGGCTGCAGCCTATGCTGTTGCCAGCGACTCAAGGCAGCCCAGCTCCAGGTTGAGCTGTTGTTCAGCATCTTAGCTGTAGAGGGCAGTGTCACTGGCCCTCATATGTGGGATCCGAACTAGGGCCCTCTGGCGTCCCAAGCCAGCTCTTAACCACCGGGCTACTCGGCTGGCCCTTGGTCAAAACTTTTGAAGCATAAAGATCACTGACAAAAAAAGAAAGTTATATAAAGAGAGAACTTTGCCACTGAACTTTGAAATAAAAAAATATAGTGAGCTGATAAAGAAAGTGAAGTTTTTGCCCTGGTTTGTCAGGTGGAGTGGGGTGGACAGTAGGCCAGGTCTGGCTAAGAGAGGTCAGTCGTAGAAAGACAACAAATAAGTGATTTCTGGTAGGTCCTATAGGTCTCAAGGCCAGAAGTCAGGATCACCCTGGCTTTTCCACTTGGTCTCAACAACTTTCCTTCTTTCTCACGGCTGACTTTTCTCCCGAGTTGGGCTTCTTCACCATCTCTGTCATTTTTTTGGCGTCAAGATTCTTTCTTACAAGAATGTTCAATGCTTTCAACTTTTATGTTGGCATTTTTTTTTATTCCCCCTTCAGATCCAAGTTCCTGAACTATATTTACAGCATTTATTTGCATATTTGCTTTTTCTTTAGCACTGTCCTTGAGTTTTTGGCAGTGTTCATTCATCTAGTTGCTTTGAATTTGGAAGAAGAACCCTTAGAGGTTAGGAGAGTAGGAAGGAGCTGAGATGGTGCTAAATGTCATCCAATGACTTAATTAGCAGGTGATAAGCTAACTTCAGTGTGTGGGTAGCAAATTTGGTCTAACCAAGGTCCAGTGTGAATAATTTGCCTGCAAGCCATTGAGAGCTATGGAAGCAACCTTCATACCTGAGGCATTTTTCCTGTTCTGCGTTGTGGGTTGAATGGCTCCACTCTACAATGTTTCAGGACTTTTGCCTCCTCTTGCTTTACAGATCTGTAACATGCTGAATGCCCCTGCAGATGAATACTTCACATTTCAGGTAACCTTGCCCTCTGCCAGGTCATGCCCCTCAGGGCCAAGGAGAAGGGGAGCATATCTTGTCGCATATCTCCCATCCCCAAAGTCTATGTTAGACTCAGAGACAAAATAATAATAATAATAATAATAATAACTGTGAAGCTTTTGGAAAATATCTAAATGCTAAATTGTATGGCCCAGGCTCTAAGTGCTTTTGTCATTCTGAAAAAAGGAAACCTCCATATGGGTGAAAAAAATTAGAGCAGGCTTCATGGGAAAGTTGAGACTTAACCTGAGCCTCTAAAGGTGACTAAATAAGCCAACAGGAGGCTGAAGAATGGACAATGGTGTGTGTTCCGTGCTTGGCTACCTTTGCCCTGTTGCCTACTGTGCAGGTGCCACACCATGGTTCTCAGACTTCAGAGGGCATCAGAATTACCTAGGGAGCTTATTCAAGATGTATGCACATGAAACAAGTTTTTTTTGTGTTTTT